GAAGTACGGACGGCAGATAATCGCTTTACATCAATAGCCACAGCTCTACGTTATTTTAGGTGTTTCTATATTTTAAGAGCGAACAGAGCACACAAATCTGATAGGCTGCAATGTTTGATCCCCGGTGATAAATATATTGTGGCTCCTCCATAATTAAATTTGCTGAGCTGGGGAGGAGGAGGCTGTATAGGAAAATATAGCACAAATTGTGCATTTTTGTGGATCAATACAGGACACGGCATTTTATTTCAGTACAGGACAGACTGCACACTACAATGGACAAGTTCTTAAGACTAATTAATAGCCTAAGCTAGTTCATCTAAAAATTGTCAATGATTCTTTCTTTTTTATCACAAGTTCTGGCTATAGCTTGTGAAGACCACTCACTCCCATAAAAGAAAGGAAATGATGTGACAACATCAAACTTTCCTTACAATAATATCTGAAAACACCATTACTGTGACAGGCAATGGTAGTCAAATGCTGCGCTATAATAGCTATGTTTTTTTTTTTATCCAAGAAACCAAACTGAACACCAAATCATAAATCTTTCAGGTATATTGCTTTGTGTGTAGCCTAAGTCTACGTCCCAGACAAAGACAATAATCACTGGCTAGTCAGATATTAACATTCATATCGACACTTGTCTGATATCATTGATTACTGATAATATCATCATCACCCAGCCTTAGATTGCACTTACATATTGTGCAATCCTCCCATGTTGATATAATTCTTTATCATGGTGTTTCTGTGTCTTAGTATAAGTTCTATATAGCTTAATATTATGTTTTGATGTAGAAGACAGAAAAACCCCCATGTTACTCCCTTTCAGCCTGGTCTTTCCTGTGGCCCAAGTTGTTTTCTGTTGATGCACTGGATATTAAGTTCAGTGAGACCTCTCTCCAGACCTCTCTCCAGACTTCTCCCAGCCAGCTTTAAGCATATGAGCTGAAGCTCTGCACATTTTCAAAAATCACTTTGATGCTGAAACATGTGAATTCTTCAGAAATGACCAGCAACCACTGATTTTGTGTGATTGGCATTTAAACAATGTAAACAATACACCTCCTTCCATACTGCAGTTCTGTGTCACCTTTCCTGTGACGTGGTTTGTTGAGTGAAACTCTCAGAATCATTTGTATCAATGAGTGGTAGTTAGTGTTCTGCATGATTTTCTGCATATATTGTATGCTTATGTGGGAGACTTTCCAAGGTTACCTATCTAAAATACAGCCATCACATGGAGGACTGATTGAAAATGCATAGGGTTTGGGTGCAGCATCCCTTAATATACATTTACGTTTTATTTAGCAAATACTTTCATCCGAAGTGACATGCAATTGAGACAGCAGGGTCAGCCACTCCCTGGAGCAATTGAGGTTAAGGCTCGATCTCAACATCCTCAATGGTAATATCATGGACCACAGGATTGGGACCGGTGACGTTTTGATCACGGTATTAACCTTAGAGTCAAACATCACCCCAAAGAGCTGTAGATATAATCTGAAGCTAAAATTTCATGGAGACTCTTTCAGATAGATAAACCTTAATTACCTGTGAGTAGCTGCAGGTGCCACTGTTCACCTTTATTCCCTAACCTTCCTTTCCAGCCACAGATCCAAATCCACGGGCTGGCCACCCCCTTCCGGGACCTGGACCGCCTCTTCAGCACCCCCCTACGGATGGGACATGACCTCCAGTAGAGAGGGGAGAGACTGCTTCATTAAGTGAGTGCGTGGGGGTATGGAGGGGAGGGCAGCGTTCCCAGTGTCGGAGAAACGCTCAGTCATTCAGGACACGTAGAGGCTCGAGATTCTGCATGCTCCATCTGTGCAGGCGGAATACTGATTCCCATCCTTCACATGCCGAGCAAAGTGCTATCCCCAGTTAAGCACCAGTACGCCCCGTGCTGGGCTGCAGGAGACACCCTGCATCATTCCTCAACCGCTGCCCATCTCTCACTCTCATAAAACCTCCAGCACAGTGGCAGCCTCAGATCTAGAGCGAAAGCGAGCGTGCTTTTAGAGAGACGCTGGGACGCACCGAAGGCGGCGTTAGCAGGTCTTTGATCAAGGTGCCGCTTGCCTCACGCTGCTATGCGGCAGGGCAGGAAAATGGCTACTCTGCTTTTATCTGTGGATTCTGAGGTTCGAGGACAGCATGGCACCTTTTCTACCACTTTCACCTAACAGTGAGCCCAAATAGATACTGTACATAAAACACACCACGGCTCCCGCATTTAACGTTGAAAGTTTTTGTTCAAAGGTCTTATGTCATGAATACAGAGGAACCTTATGCCACCATAATGTTTAGTTTAAATCAGTACTTTGCTGTGAAATCAGGTTATACACACTCACACACACACACACACATACAGCTGCAGCCCCCTTTAGTTGTTTCCCCAGTCACAGAAAAAAAAAATGTATACACATAGATAAATACATATACAGTGGTACCTCGGTTCTCGAACTCGCTAGAATTCGAATTTCTTGAAAGTCGAACAAACCAGTTTGACCTAGAACTCGATCTGAATATCAGAAGTCGAACCGTGAACGCTGTCCTAATATAAATTGTATGCGCCAGGAAATGAGTCATACTACAATGCAATGTCTTCTTCACAAACTGGACGATTAACCAAATAAAGCAGTGCAACATTACAGTAACTAACAATAAATAAACCACTAGCTTACGTGTAGTATTAGAGCATTTATGTCATTTATTTAAACTTTATTTTTCCAGGTAAATTAACTGAAAACCAGTTTTCACTGCTTTACGTGATTTTCGGGAGAAATAGCAGATTAGGCATCGGAACTGCCTGGGATACAAAAGTCATGCATGTAACTAAACTCTTCAGCCAATAAGGGCAAAAGTGTGTCGTCACGGAGGCGGTTCCAGTTTGTGCAGCCGGGTGAGAGGTCGCAATGCATCTAACCGTAATGCATTGCGTCAGGATCAGAATGCGTTGCTTTAAGCCAGCGCTGTAAGCAAGTCAAACGGACCCAATGACCGGACTGGGGAAACAAACTGAAACGTTGACTTAATACAGAGGACTAATGACAACAACCAGAAACAGCTGATCACATGGGGATGCCACACGAGGTTAACGAGGGGGCGTGGCACACGGAAGGAGAGGACGATCGGGACAGGGCAGGGGTAATGTTGGGATAAGATCTTTATCGTTTTAGAAGCCATTAAGAAAAAAATGCTCTTCTTGTTTTACCCTGTTCATTTTGTGTTTAAATGCTAAAAAAAAAAAAAAAACATATTTAGGGTGTAATATTGGGGGGCCGGGAACCAATTAATTGGTGGAGATCTGCACTTCTGCAGTCAGATGGTCTTGTGAAGCGAGACAGTTAGCCTGGTCCGGACCAGGCTTGTTCGCAGGCCTAAATTACCATGGTAATTTAGCGGGGATTCATTTAAGACTCGTTAATGAAACGGAACAATTACTTAAGTAAGACTGACTTGTCGAAATAAGTCAGACTTTCCCTTAAGCCTGCTTCATGGAATACCCGCTGGGTTAAACACCTTTCTGGTGACCTAACAAAGTAAATACAATTAAAAAAAAAAAAAGCTCAATGACAGGGTGGCTAAATTAATTATGCATTCATAATTCACTTTTTGCACCATGAATGTAATGTTTTCCTTGGGTTTCACATGTTTGGTTTTGTGAGCATATACACAATCATCTTGGGCCACTTCTGATTGATGAGCATGACTGTCAGACAAGGAGGACTGCATGAATTTGTAAAACTATTCTCACAACAGTTTTAAACCCTGTGTGCGATGTACTGTATAATGATATCCTAAATCACAGCCTTTGCGATTGACTAATCGCGTTGTTTAAAATTGAGATTTCAATTTGAAATCGATAAATCTTTCAGCCTTACATAGTATAAACCATGTGGAGTGGAGATGTGTTTCACCATTCATACCTCAAGCCGGGTCCATTGTCATAAACACACCACTGCAGGTAGACCTCCACCGACATCCAAGGCAGTAGCTCAGGCTTTGGAATCATTTGGCAGTCTAGTGATCAACCACATGTGTTTTCTTGCAAGGAGATGCAAGTTAGCTTGGTTCATAGCAGCTGTGTTTTTGGGTGCATATAAATAATTTTTTTAGGGTGGAGGTAACATTAAACATTGAAAACTTGTTTCTTTTGTCTGGCAAGCCATATTTTATGTCTTTTGAAGCCTTGACAGGTTCAACCCTTACAATGTTGATGAATCTACTTCATTTTTTTAGACAAAATCTATACTGGTGCAATGGAACCTGATGGTTGCCTTTATCAGAAAGGGTGAACGAAATGTCCCACTAGAGAAAAGAGTGAAAAGGAGTCTTCAGTATATGACGGAGAACCAGTTCAGCACAAATCAGGAGAGTAGGGTGCTGGCAAGAGAGGACATCAACAAGAGATCAAAAGTTTTACTGCCCTGAAAGGTGCCCCGCTGTTATACCCTCAAATAATAATAATAATAATAATAATAATAATAATAATAATAATAACACTTTGCTTGAACTATTCACACAAAACACACAGAGCTGTATGAATTGGTTAAACTGATAGTTACTTTGCATGAGAGAATCATCTAGGGAAATTATAAAGCCTGGTGGATTAATAAAATCCTCTGTACTTTTGACCGGGAGGATGCTCTTTCTATACAGCAATATTGTTTTGTTCTGCTGGCAACCAAGCCAGATGATGGTTATCTAATCTTTTATCTGTGTTGGGACACCAGCCTCTGACCTTATGAGACAGTCCATCTTACCTCAGCTCTTTGATGTCCACCCGACATTATTCTCTCAAATATAAACTGAAGGAATGCTAAGACCTGATGATTTTTAATCTCACTTTTTAAAGCTTTAGGAAGTACCAACTGGGCTGAGTAACAAGATGAATAACCCATCTTATTCAAGGCAATACTACACGTCGCGAGGGTATATATTCAGAGTCAGGAGAAGTTGTTACATTGATGGAGGGCATTATCTACACAGCCATTCAGTCCTTTGGTAATTAGTTGTTGTTTCATCTGTGTAATTTAGCACTAGTATTAAGTACATATTAATACTAAAGTAACCTTACAGAGCCTTACATGTACATACATACATTAATGTGTATATACATGCACACATAGCCCTGCAGAGAACTGGAGACACTTCAGTAATCTGACGAAGGAAACCATTAATACAAAAGTATATTTCATTATTCATATTTTCCAAGCATAAAGCCTGTATCTTTAAGCAAAGGAAAGGTAAGGAAGCTGACATGAGAATATGCTGAGAATCTATGATCTTAATCACAAGTTATACTGACAGATATTTATGGACATTATTTACACTGAGAAATTTTGTAACTAATAAAGATAGTGTCACGCCCGGCTCGTCCGACCCTCCTGTGTGCCACGCCCCCTCGTTAACCTCGTGTGAAATCCCGATGTTACCAGCTGTTTCTTGTTATTTCCATTAAGTCATGTGTAAAATTCACATTAAAATCTGCTTCTCCAGTCTTGTCATTGAAGTCACTGATGTCAAGTGAAGTCTGCCGTCCGTCTTCATACCTTACTTTGTTGTTTTCCTCAAATAAAACCCTAGTTTCCCAGATTCCTCATCTCCTTGCTCCTACCTTCCTGCTTCCCCTGTCCGTGCTCACGTCCAGTTGTGACATATAGGGCCAGATTTACTAAGCAGGGCAAATTAGCATGATGGCGCAATAAAAAAAGCGGCAATGGGAGTGGCCAGTTCTGTGGGTAATCTACTAAAAATGCGCAAATTTATGAACACAGATACGATCACTTCATTTAAATAATGACCGACTCCATCTACTAAGAGCAGAACAAAATTAAGATATAAGATACATTTTTACGGCGTTAAATAATGGCACAATTTGCAGTAAGCCTACTGCAAACCTTAGTAAATCACGTTGTGTGATTCATTTAAATACTCTCCTCCCCCAAATTTTGCGTTTTGAAAGGGAACTCCTTCAGATGCATGAGCAGCATGGCCGACAATACTATTTTAATGCCAAAAGAAGGTTTGCACTGGCGCAAACCGTTAGTGAATCTGGCCCGTAATATTTTAATATTTAGTGCCAATACAGCTCTGTGAGTTAATTAAAATGAACAAAATAAAAATGTTGCTAAATGGCAGTTTCATATTAATAGTGTCACTCTAATTCTGGCCCTGGAGAAATACATCTTGGGAATGCTATAAAGGTAGTTCATCAAACGTCATCTGCTGAAGATTTGAAGTGGGGGGGAAACCTTCCCTCCCGATACCCGATCCTCTTCCAAATTTGGGAAACGAACAGGCTTGACGCACAGTATATTTGCAACAGTGTAGTTAACAAGATTGTATGTACACAGCCCAGCGACTAGCAGAAAACAATCAGAAAGATCTGGCCAATGGGGGCCATCCTCATGTCAGGGTAGGAGGGGACAGCTGGAACCATGGAGACCTCCAATCAGTGTTGAGTTGTGGGTGGTGCATTTCCTAGATGCAGATGGCCGTATGCTTTTCTTACAGCAGAGACTGGTGGGGTCCTGTTGAGTCTGAGCTTAAAGCAAAGCGGGATGCAGTCTGCCGATGGTTTAGAGATGTTATTAGAGTCATTTGCTTTGGTTAACCTCCACCGATTTATGAATCATACCTATAGAGTTAGGGATCACTCACTGAAAAGCCAACTGGCAGGTTAGTTTTCATTTTGACTATTATTGATTTAAATCCTTACCCCAAGAGTCTTGGATAATTGCGTTATTAAGATTAATTAGATTTTTTTTCCCTGCACCATCTACTGCTGAAGAGAAATGCAGAACCTTGGGCTCAACGTTGTGGCTCGAAAGATTAATTGTACCTTTTCAGCATGAGGTGGAGCTACACTCTGCCTTAAAAATCCACAGCTCTAATTAGGCAGGAGTGCGGGCTTCACCGAGGAGACACACAGCTTGTAGGGATCTAGAAACACGTACAAAGGAAGGTCATGACCATAGTTAGCTGCTGCTTCTTTTTTAACCATCTGCTTTCAAGCAGCTCTGGTTTATCTGGATGACAGTGACCTTGAAAACTTATTCAGTATTCAGTACTTTTATTTTAAATGAAAAAATTCCTGCAAGAATCCAAAGAATCTGACTTTAGGTCCATCGAATAAAAGATAAATGATCAATGGAAGCATTAATTCTAATCTTTTGCCAACAATGACCTGTATTAACTGATTTTAAAGCTGTTTGACGCATACTTGTGATTTACAATTAGGCCGTATCATTTTCTCATTCACTTATGGAGCATTTTTGTTTAATTTGTTATCATCGGTCAGGTGTTCATCAGTTGTGGTGATTTATTATATAAGACTCACGTTTCCAAGGGTTTTCCCAGTATGAAACATATATTTAAAGTTATATTATTCTGTAACGGTAGTGGGAACTGTGTATACGTTGCCCTTTCAGTGTCACTATGGCGATGCCACCCGGTTGGAGACACAACAAGTAATCGTCATGAGACTCGTCACTCCAGCACAGACTCGTTTTGCAGGCTGCAGAGAAGCGGCTTCCTGCCCGCAGTCGGTGTGACATCCGACACGCAGGTGCTTCTTGGCCACTTAATAGCCCAGCTTGATACTTACTGGCTGGCCAGAGATGCTGTAGGTGTTTAGCAGGGAGGGTATAACACAGCTCCTATAAGTGAATCACAACAAGAAGGTCACAGCCTGAATTTCCTGGCAGAGATTGATTTGCTCCATAAACAAGGCATTTGGGCCTTTAGGGAAGTGGACAAATCCTCTCCCCTGGTCATTTATGTTGGTCATCCACTAGTTGGGGCTTAAATTCAGTAGTGGCAGTTCTTATAGTATGAATGTCATAGTATTTTATATTTGATAGTAGTAGGATACATTTTGAATGAGTACATTTCAATGAGGTTTGCTTTATTTTGTTGTTTCACTTTTCCGGAGTGGTCAGTGCCCGCAAACCGAGCTGTGTGAAGCCGACATTGTCATGCAGGCTGGATAGCCATCGCAAGCTCTCCTTCCTAACCATCGCCTGATATCTTTCATTTTCAGAGATGATTTGTCACTACAGATTAGGACTCATTGCTCGGGCTAAACGTCATGAAATCCTGCGTGAATCATGAATTGAGGACAGTCCAGCATCCTTTATATTAAACAAAAATATGTAGGAGATATATTCCAAAGGCATTTGTTCACCATAGTATAGTGTCTCTGCAATCTCATGCTCAGGCAACACACCTATGCGAAACAAGGTATACGGTTAGTGCCTGATTTTGCATTGTTTATTGGTACCATTTTCAAAGTGATTAGAGACCCCACGCCCCATCACCCCATTTTCCTATTTCCTATGTTCTATAGCTACGGGTCCCAGAGCGGCTCGCTGGAGGAGGTCCGTCTAGAGGGTGGGCCCTTGGTACCACCAGCACCCCGCAAGGTGGAGATGAGACGAGACCCTGTACTTGGCTTTGGCTTCGTGGCAGGCAGCGAGAAACCAGTGGTGGTCCGTTCTGTTACCCCAGGTAACTACGCTATCTGTCTGAAGGCTATACTAGGGTTTCCGGGAGCATAAACCTTTCCATATCATCAGCATACCTTATAATAGGTTAATAGTAATAACTGTTAGTTTTTAGGTATTAATGTACTTGAACCATGTGTAACCTATGCTTACTCAACCCGTACAGAATGGCAAGTTGTGAGGATATAGGGCAACTCGCTATGTTTGTTTCCATAATACTTCTATTACTCATCTGAAATATGATAACATGAAAGGCCTTGTATAGTGATACTTTCCTCATTGTAAGGTCTATGAGGTCTGCTTCTTGCAAAGGAACCATGAAACCATGATTCTGTAGGAAAAGAATGGCATTATAGCGTTTTTACTCTGTGCAGTAGCTTATGGTTACCTGAGGGCATCATTTGCACAATTCTGCCTGCACGGTAAAAGGGAAGAATAACTGGAAATAACTAGGTTTTGTATCGCCCACGTACTCAACAAGCCGGTGCCTAAAAATCCGATATAGACTCAGAGGATTACATTATCATGAACAAACAGACTTCCAGATAATAATTACACCATTCTAAACGCATGCATTTACTGATACAAACACGTCTCCATTTTTCCTTCTGCCCTCTGAAAAAGCCAAGGGGTAGTTCACTGCGTTAAATGCGGAAAAGACAGCAGATAAAGTGCAACTGCGGATGCAGATGTGCAAATACAGTGTAAATGCAGGTGCAGATGTGCAAATACAGTGTAAATGCAGGTGCAGATGTGCACAGAATGCAGAGATGAACAGAAGCAGCAATCCAAAGAGGAAAGGTCCTCACATTTAGGGGCATGTCATGCCCTGGCTCTCTGCTTGTCTTTCAGGGGGTCCCTCAGAGGGCAAACTTGTACCTGGTGACCAGATCATCATGATCAACGATGAGGCAGTCAGCAGCGCACCCAGGGAGCGAGTCATCGACCTCGTCAGGTACGGGGGCTGACCTGCACAAGGGGGGGGTTGGCCAGAGTCACCTGCGAGAAAGTGGGACACAGTGAGGCTGCAACAGTGAGGCTGCAACAGTGAGGCTGTTGCCCACCTGTCTGATCACAGGCAGGTCCTGAGCTTGCAGCAGAATGGAGAAGCTTCTGTAGGTAACAGTTAGCTCTGTTATATAATATGGCGACTACATCCAACATAGCAGTCTGAATAGCAGTGACAGGGGAAAAATGATTAATCTTTTATCAGCAAGTTAGCAATATTAACATTAATATTCTCCTATTTTTCTAGCAGAAATTTAAACTCCACTTAAAAACTGGTAGAATTCTGCATGAACTAATTATATTTCTTTTCAATGAATGTATTAAAATCAGTCAACGACTATGGTTAATGATATAAGTTTTTTCCTTGCATAAGGAGGTGATGCATGACTTTCAGGGTCTATAAACATTGCAGATGCCCCATTTAGTGAAAATATAAGTCTTTTTGTCCTTTAATAAATGTAGAGATATTGGGTGTCTACTGGAATTCAGTAAAATAATACATTATAGTTTTATTTCTAAACTCCAATCTCAATGTATCAACCTGATTTGACATACATACCCACAACAACTGACCCCCATGTGGAAGTTCTCTTTATACCTCCCCCAACTTGTTCTCTGTAGGTACTGTAAGAGCAAGCTGGCTGTGAAGGGCAGCCACCTGTGGTAGCACCCAGGGAGCTGGGGGTTAAGGGCCTTTCTCAAGGACCCAATGACATGCTAAGGCTGGGCTTGAACCAGCAACTGTCTGACCACAGGCACAGAGGTTTAGCCCATTGGGCCACAAGCGGTTTTAGAACCGTCTTATTTCTGGCATAAGGAGGAGAGGTAAGGAGCACGCACTGATTACGGTGCATCGCTGCAGCCACCACACGCCAAACCACCTCAGGGATGAGAGCCTGAGTGCAGCCATGTGGCGAGTGATACCTCAGCACCACACTAGTCCAAATGGACCAGTATGAGGTTTTTTCCAGTGGCTGAAGTGCCAATCCTGCCACCAAGGATTTGGCATCATACATTAAAAATAATTACATGAATATTGGTGGTAATGTTTATAAAAATCAAAGAATGTTTAAAAATATCATACATTGGACGATTAAATAAGTAAGTGGAGTAACCAGAATTAAGTTCTGAAATCTCTAAATACTGGAAGTGCTTTCAATTTTGATCACTTGTGTGTGTGTGTGTGTGTGTGTGTGTGTGTGTGCGTGTATAAAATAATATAGTGCCAGTCAAAAATCTGGGCACACCTGCTTTTAATACATTTGTTTCTATTTTAGTAAAAAGCCTCCAGGCAATGAAGTAATACACATCAAATATTGCAATGACCAAGTGTTCAACATCTCAAAATTTTCTCAGACTTCAAACTCTTCAAAATTGCCCCCTTTTGCTTCAATGACACCATTGCAGACTCTATTCTTTCAGCTACCTGTAATGATTCTCCAGCAGTCCTGAAGGTGGTTTCCACAAGTTCTGGGCACAAGTTGACTAGCTTGCTGTTACTCTTCGATACAACTCATCCCAAAACAGTTCAATATGGTTTAGGTCAGGGGATTGTGGGGGCCATGTCATCTGTTGCAGCATTCCATTATCTTGTTGACAAACAAATGGTGTTCAGTAATATCTTGTCTTTTGACTGGTACTATGTTTTTTTTTTTCGTTTTTTTTTTTTGCAGGATAGCTGTCGCTCTTGTTTTGTATAAACAGTTCCTTCTATTATTTATAAATAAAGTGTGCCTCAGGTGTAGGCGTAACCATACACAGACGAGACACTGGGATATATAGTATTTTCAACCCTAAAGAAAATGATGAATGGAGGCCAGTTTCCATGGCGCCACTGATGTAAGCCGTCGCCGCGGTGCCATGAGTGCACAGCAGGATGGGCAGATTATGTAGCCGGTGTCTGCCCGCCATGTGGAGCGCTTGTCAGAGCTTATGAAGACTCCTGTGGGTGAGGCTGACTTATGGTTCGGGCCAGCCCGCCTGTGCTTATGCACCCAGGAGTCTCTCTTCAGAGCCGCACGACCCATTTATGGATCATCATCACCAAGAAGTGACATATGCATCTCAAGACCTGTGTGTTTATTTTGTTTGACTCCTGGCTTGGATGCATGCTTTTCATAACCCTTATTCTCTCTTTCAGGAGCTGCAAGGAATCCATTGTCCTGACGGTGGTGCAACCTTACCCTGTAAGTAACCTGGGCGTTCGAGGCTTTTACTGAGGCTGTTCACATGAGGACAGCACAACCGCTCCCCCCCCCCCAGCAGCTCAGGCGGAGGATAGGAGGCGTCCTCTACCAATCAGGGTCAGCAGGAAGATTAATAAACTCCAAACGGAAAAAAAAAAAACTCTGCATGGCTTTAGATAAAAAAAATGTAGCAACTTAATGTAAAAATACTACTGAAGATTCAGCCGCTGTCCATCAGGACTTCATAAAGCTGCTCACACTGACACTATCAGCAGAGTCAGAGATGTGCCCCGTCCTCTGCTGTATTGTGCCCATCGGGAACATTTGCAGTGACCCTCCCCCCCCCATACATACACACAGCATGGGCTGCGAGGAATATGATAGAGGGGACATGCAACTGAACCATGAGGAGACACCTAGTTGACAGAGAGCCCATCCTACGTACCCTATGGCAATTACAAACCCAGATTCACCCAAACGCATGTCTTAAGACTAATGGCTTAACCCAGAGTTCTGCACAGGGAGAGTGACCAAACTACACACACATGGAGCTGTGTAGAGGAGTCAGGACCACGGTCCTCGCCCGCTTCCCCATCTCTGTAAAATACACACTGCCATTAATGTCTTGGACTGTTTTCCAGCTACTTGGGGAAATCAGGAGAGCGCGTTCGACCTTCCAAGTTTTTATTATTGAGACAAGGCTCCACTTCTGATTAACACATTTTTTAATGATCTGGAATGAACATGATGTCCTCTTTCAGAATAAGGATACCAATTGTTCTAATCAGGCTCAGTGGTGCTGATTCAATCTGATTGGCTGAGAGAAGTACCTATGGGAGCATGGATTCTAATCATGTTAATAGAACACTAAGAAACACCATCTTCTGACTAATGTGCTGTGATGAATGCGAGCAGAAGCTATCAGAGTGCAGTTAAAGGCACAATCCTCTTCCATCTATCATCTATCATGCTTGAAACTATACAACTGTACATGTGACCATTTGTCCGTTTTAACATTTATTACACAGTTTAGTGGAATTTATGGGTGGCATGGTTGTGCAGCGGTTGGCACTGTTTCCTTGCACCTTTGGGACCTGGGTTCAAGTTTCCACAAGGGTTCTATGTGTGGAGTTTTCATGTTCTCCCTGTGTCATTGTGGGGTTTCCTCCGGGTACTCCGGTGTCTCCCCTCCCCCCACTGTGTGATGGTCTGGGGGCTCGTCCAGGGTTATTGCCTTGCACCCAAAGTCTCTGGACCTGCCATGACCCTGAATAGGACAAGCAGTTTCAGAAAATGGATGGGTGGGAGTTGTAAATGTTTCATAGCCAGTTGAAAGTTTTTGTATTTATTAAAACTTTTGTGTAAGGTCCAGACAACTATGTCAATGTGAGTGTTTGGTGCTTGTTCTCAGAAAATGCAGGATTACGTAGATATATTGTTCCTGTCAAATTCCCAGTTAGTAATTTTATTTATTAACTAACATACATTTATGTTGAGTTCTATGTCAGTGACCCAGAGATAAGCTGAGTAACTGAGTGTTATTGCCATTAACGAGAAAGAATACACACCAGCAAGAATATTCCAGCCATCATCTGGAAATGTATACATTTATAACAGTGTCATTTTCCTGAGAGATTGACTGCATGTTTCTTTCTTGCTTGAAGCCTAATCATTCATACAATGAAGGTCCCTGCATACCATTACTTGTGACCATAGCAACCATGTACCTGTTTTACACAGAAGCTTATGCAACAAATTGCATAAATCAATCAGTAATGTGTATGTCGACTTGGATGTAGCAAAGAAATGAATAAATTGTGATGATTAATCTTTTACTGGTCTAAAGGGTCCTTGTGTTTAAGCAGACTACCTCACTGTCTGCCCATGTGCTCCTCATTTGTCAGCTGTCTGCTCCCCTAAACATCGCATTGCTAAATGCAGATGGGCTTTTCAGGATACCTTGACCGTTTTCCTCTTACAAAGTTTGTCACCCATTTGGCCTCTTCTGGTTTGGGTTGCTAACCAGTTGTCCCCTTTTCCTTCCAGTGCCCCAAGTCGGCGTTCATCAGTGCTGCAAAAAAGGCGAAGTTAAAGTCAAACCCAGTGAAAGTGCGCTTTGCAGAGGAGGTCATTGTAAACGGTCAGGTCCCGGTATGTAGACCATTAGCTATGCATTATGTCAACCAGTATGGATCTTTTAAATAAAGTTTAATGAAGATCAAATTGATTTTAGGTTACTTATTGCCCAGAAATGCAGTGGTCTGTTATCCACACACTTCCTTTGTTAATATATGACTGTATGTGCAGGAGCATTAGACAAATTATAGACACAGTGGGATCCCTCTGCAACAACACTTTGTCTGCTAACAACAGACACTTTACACTTTAGTTAGCTGTGTTCATATAATTGCATAGCCCTTGTTTACTTATATTTACTATATATTTGTTTGTTAATTTATTTCACCCTTTATTCCATCTCTTATTCCTTCTCACTGTGAGTAAATGGTCTAATGTAAGCAGTATGTCTAAAATGTCATACTTGTAAGTTGTTTTCAAATTGTCTTGTATGCTGAATGTTACACCGGAGTACATCCACTAACACAAATTCCTTATGTGTTGAATTACTTGACCAATGAAGATCTTGCTGATTTTGATTAAAAGGTAGTAATCACCATTACTGAACAATAATTTTCTCTCATTTCCAGGAAACAGTCAAGGACAACTCACTACTTTTCATGCCAAATGTCCTGAAGGTGTATCTGGAGAATGGACAGACAAAGTCCTTTCGCTTTGATAGCAACACTTCCATAAAAGTGAGTTTCATATTTCATGATTGGGTGTGAAGATTTGGATGGAAAGGGGCCTGCACTGCCCTGGAATTATAATTCAATCTTTAACTTTGACGCACAGAAATTTAGGAAACTGCATTTTATGTTTGTGACAACAAAAAGGCTTTCAGGTGAGAATTTCGAGTCACAGAACATGATAGAAAAGCAAAATTAAGACAAAAAGGCAGCTATCTAAGTAATAAAGTCAAGAATGAAGTATTAGGCAAACCTGTAACAGGAACTAAATTCATATCCATTGCTACTGGTCAGAATAATGTTACACAGCTGGTAATATTTACAATAAGAAATAGTACTGTTTAAGTAGTATGGCTACATAATGATTCAGCAATAAATGATTTTTTTTCATAAAAATGCTGTTGGCCCAAGACCCTTACCAAGCCTGTATTAACTGATACCTCCCTGTGTGGCAGGATGTTATCCTGACTCTGCAAGAAAAACTGTCTATTAAGAGCATCGAACAGTTCTCTCTGGTGCTAGAGCAGCGGGGCGAAGGGGCTCCGAGCAAAATGCAGCTCCTTCATGAGCAGGAGATGTTGTCTCAGGTGAGCATTTCAGACTGGGGTGTGTGGGTCGCTCTTCCTTCTCCTGTAAGGGGCAATGCTGCCTCAGGTTAGAATTTCAGGCTGGGGTGTGTGGGTCACTCCTCCTTCTCCTTTAAGGGGCAATGCTGCCTCGGGTTAGTATTTCAGACTGGGGTGTGTGGGTCGCTCTTCCTTCTCCTGTAAGGGGCAATGCTGCCTCGGGTTAGTATTTCAGACTTTGCTAGATTTCCTTTTCCTGTAGGAGGCGATGCAAAGGATGGATGTGTTTTTTATAGTGAATAACTTGTTAATTTTGTCCCATGGGCAATAGTCGAGCTGTAAAAACATTTCAAACAGGATGGTGGAGCTGAGATAAAATTTGCGAGGAGAAAATGTATGAAATGGGTGAGGGCAAGGGGGCAGTTGAGGATTGCACGATCCAGGTTTCGATCCAGAGTCCACCAGTTGGGTACCCCTGATATAGGTATATTTACTGTATCTTTTGGTGAGTGACAATTACACAGAACGATTTAGGGGGTGGGGAGAAGGGATAGTATACTTAAAAGGGGGTGGTTTTTGTCATTTTTTTTCCCACAGGAGGGATGGCATCCATGTGCACCCCATGACAACTTGAGCCCTCCCCATGGGTGACATTTAATTTCATGGTATTGTCCCTTGAATAGGTGACACAGCGGCCAGGGTCTCACAAGATGAAATGCTTCTTCAGACTCAGCTTTGTCCCGAAGGATCCCATCGACCTTCTAAGAAGGGATGCAGTGGCTTTCGAATACCTCTATGTTCAGGTATCATTTGGCAGAAAGTACTCAGATCCATGCTTAATGGAAAATGTTCACTGTTACAGGCAGTTTATGGTTCTTTCAGCAAATTTGACAACATTTTTCCCCAGAAATTAATGGCTATTACAGCGGCAACCTGGCAATTACACAAGAAGTAAGAATGAAATTAAGAGGACATGACTTTTGCCTTCCCCCCCGTCAGAGCTGCAATGATGTGGTGCTGGAGCGCTTTGGGCCGGAGCTGAAGTACGATATGGCACTGAGACTAGCTGCCCTGCAGATGTACATCCTCACAGTCACCACCAAACAGACACAGAAGGTCTCCATCAAATATATCGAGTGAGTTTGGTCTGTTCATCCAGTCGCTCATTGGCTTCTCTTCTATGGAAAAAACGATGACACGTTTACACTGATTACTGAAGCTTAATATCTGGGTCACATCTAGCCATGACTGGAAACTGTCTGAATATATTTACGATGCACAGTACAGCTTTCCCAGCCAACTGATTGTTCATTAATAGGTATTCCTTTGAACTGATGTTTTATGTTATCGTAAAAAAATATTCCCTATAAAGCATACCTGCAGTCCAAACAATGTAACAGAAGTCACATTGGAAAATCGCTAAAAGCTTTGGAAAATCCTTGAGTGGGGGACTCTGTGATTAAATTGCCCCATAGAGGGTGTATTTCTGTCACTGAGCGATTGGAGCAATGGATTATAGAAAGGATTTCCTATGTTTCCACTCAACTCACAAACCCGAGTGGAAGTAATTTCACAGCTGTGAGAGTTGGTGACCTGAGTCTCACAGGAAAATCCCACCCTTCCAAATAGTCACTTTTATATAAAGGCAAGTTTAATAAGGTTAACAGTTGGTAACATTCCTGCATTGCTCTTTAGGAAGGAATGGGGTTTAGCTCTCTTCTTGCCCCCTGCTGTGCTGTCCAGCATGAAGGAGAAGAACATCAAGAAAGCCTTGACACACATCCTCAAGACCAATCAGAATCTCGTACCACCGGGCAAGAAGGTAGCCATTACTCTTTTCTTCTGCCGAATTTGCTCTCTGAATTCAATTCAGCTCCATATGAAGTGGCCTGGAAAACAGTTTTCATCGTCGGAGGACAAACAATACACGAATACACGTATCTAATGTGATCGGAAATTAATGCAGCACAATGAGCTAGAACATTTCAAATGTATACTATTACCCTTAGACAACAGCTTCCATTATGAAGTTAGGTCATTCCTTTGTGTCTGGAACATTCTGAAATTGCCTCGTGAGATTAGATGAGCATTCAGTAAAAAGGTATGGATGGATGGATGGATAGATGGTGTATGGGTGGGCTGATGGAAGGCAGGATTTGGAAATCTGGGGAGAACAGTGATTCATTTCAAGTTTCAGGGCAAATGAGATGCTGCCTGAGACCCCTACTGATCATATCCGTGAGCTCAGCATGTCTGCCCCGGGAAGTCAAACTTGCCTGTGCATATTGCCTGAATCTTTTCCCTCTCCTTTCTGTCCTTGCTCTTGTCTTCCAGTGAATTGTGTAATGATTTCAGTTGTGCTGCCCTGAAACTCACAGCTCTCAGGGTTTCATGAGAAATGAAACTTCAGCCACGGCCTACTGAGGGGTCTTTTTAGGCTGACCTCGTGAGCTGGTAGATTTTGCGAAATTAGCAGGAGGCTAACTATTCATGAATCAAGGATTTTCTTTCTCCCTCCCTACAGCCTCTCTCTTCTCTCTCTCCTGCTGTTTCTTTCTTTCCCTCCCCCTCTCTGTCTCTGACACACACAATCAGAAATCATATTTTCAGCCTCACTAGAATCACATTACACTGCTGACAAAATCTGGCTAGTTTGAGGGCTCTCCCTCACATTTTACCGCTGAGATATCAGCTGCCGAGATCTTCGCATTCTCTACACTGCAAATGAAAGTTTCAGTACCTTTCACACAGTGTTAACACCTTGAGGGGAACATTTACACTGTGTGAACAGCATAGCCTCTAACCCACTTCATGTAATTACATTTAAAATATGCCCCATCAATGTACTTCAATTCATGCAATGCCAGCTGAATCAATTAAGCAAAATGGAATTACAGTATATGCAATATTTTATATTCTATATTCCATGGCCTTGTACACTAGTAGTAATATTTCATGTCTCTTTTAAAAGTACCTAGTACAAGAAATCCTGAGTGTCTCTGAAAATTTAATGTGTATATGTTTTTGTCTCAATAGAAAAAACACATTTCAAACATATTTTGTTTCAATATTGCAAACTGCTTAAGCGACAAGGCTGCTCCCTAGTGGAAATAACTTAAATCCATATTCAATCATTCTTCATTAGATTTTCATCACAAACTCTAGCTAAGTGTTTCTTTAGGCTTTTGCTGTTGCTAAAGTTTTCAGTTTTTAACACTTTCTCAGATTTACAGAATGCTTAAATTTGTGCTTATATATTACATCTCGACATTTCTTTTTCAGTTAACTGCTTTACAAGCAAAGGTGCAGTATCTGAAGTACCTCAGTGATCTGAGACTATATGGGGGACGCGTCTTCAAATCCACCCTACTAGTAAGTGTCTAACTTTTTGTTTTTATCATCCCAAATGTTCATTAGAGCTCTCGAATTTCCTCTAGTGTTGGGCGATTTCTTCAGTCCTTTCCTAGCAGACACTTGTGGCAGATCTCTAAGTCTGAGTCTCCCAGCAGCACTAAATAAAATCAAGAGTCTGTGCCTATTTCTGACAGTTCTTTCTTCTATCTCAGCAGGGAGAAAAGCATACCGAGGTCACGCTGCTCGTCGGTCCCCGGTATGGCATCAGTCATGTGATCAACACCAAGACCAACCTGGTGGCTCTGTTGGCCGATTTCAGTCATGTGAACCGCATCGAGATGTTCACGGAGGATGAGATGAATGTCAGAGTGGAGCTACATGTTCTTGACGTCAAGGTGTGTCAGGCTCTGAGCCAAAGCAAGATATTTTACCAAGATATGTTACAGTCAGCCCTCATTGAAACACAAATGATGCCCTACTTTTGGTTTTGAATAGATTGTATATTGGCTACAGAACCAACAGCATTACTATTGTTATGTAATTTGCATGCATGGCATTGTTATCCAAGAAAATCTTAAGTTATATTTAATGTAACCGTCAGTACTTTTCATGTCATGAATTTATTGAAGCCCGACTGATGGAAAACCCACCATCTGCAAAGTGGCCCTTTCAGATCACTGTACACCTGCTATCTCAGGAGCATGGTGTGCAAGGTCATCATATGCTGAGTGTTCTTTACAGAACAGTGCCCCAGGTCCTGCAGTGTCTGCATGCTAATCTCCTCCTGTCTGCATTACAGCCAATCACTCTCTTAATGGACTCCAGTGATGCCATGAATTTAGCCTGCCTGACAGCTGGATACTACAGATTGCTAGTGGACTCGAGACGCTCAATCTTCAACGTGGCTAACAGAAGTAACACAGGGAGCATGGACTCTGGTACGGTAACAGTCTATGAATTTTTTAGCTGCCGAGTTATTGATTTTTACAGAGCAGGAATGTTCAGATTACTTAATTGAGATTATTTTCACGTTCCAGACCAAGATCCGAGACGCAAGATTAACCTTCAAGCTGCTGAGTGGACATACAGCACGTCCTTTAGCGGCAGTGAAGACTCCAGCATAAACAAGGAACAGTTGTACAACAACGATTCAGAGTTTCAGGACTGTGCAGGCAGTGAACATGGACTTACTCCCATTTATATCACAGACATCCAGGAGGCACATCATGCAGCACAGATGGGGGAGAGAGGGAACAGAGTTTCTCACACCCAGCCATTCCTTTCTGTCCCTAAAAACAACATCCAGGAGTCTCCCCGAAGCGCCAAGGTGTCCTTCATTTTTGGAGACCCCCCTTTAGATAGCATCAATCCCCAGAACCTGGGGTACGAGCGGTTATTGGACGAAAGCCCTGAAATCCTAGATGAACACAGATCCATGTACTTCCAAAATGAGGAGGACTTTAAGACTATGGATCCATCTAGGGATGGATTAGGGTTTCAGTACGGCACCCACTCAGTCTACAGCAACATAAGCGATGGAAAAATCTTCGGGAATGCAGAGGGCATCGAGGAGCCCCTGCTCCATGACATCTGCTATGCGGAAACCACAGACGACGCAGAGGATGAAGATGATGTTAGCTGCGAGGAGGACAGCGTGATGGGAGAGATGAACAAGACAATGTTCCTCAAACTGTCAGGCTCTAGTGATGACATCATTGACTTAACCACCCTCCCTCCACCAGAGGGCAATGATGAGGAAGAAAACGATGTTCTCCTGCATTCTCTCAACCTAGCCATCGCCGCTCCCCCACCCGGGTTCAGGGACAGCTCAGATGAAGAGGAGCACCAGGCCGCACAGATCACAGAACCCAAAGGACTGGGTGCGAGTGACGACATTCCAGTGTCACTAATTGATGCAGTCCCTACACAGGTGGAAGGTGGCAGCGAGGCAGCCCTGGACGATGCTGTCGTTTCCACCTTACAGGCGCTGGAGGCTCTTGCTGCATCGGAGGAACAGTCACACCAACAATCAGCCAATAGCTCAGGTTCTTATACGATTGTGACATTTATTCATTGATAGCATTCAAGATCCTGCTCATTTACATCTGTTTTGTGTTCAAAACAAACCCGTTGTCCTGTGTTCTTCTTTTGTTTTGTATATGCATCTCATTCTTTGCATCCCTGTTACTCATTATTTACTGCATTTGTTTGATTTTTTGTTCATTTTGCATTGTCTTGCTTGTTTGATTCTTATGTATAAATGCATTTTCAGTTGATAGCCCTCATTATTTTTGTAAAATAAAAATGTGTCTCTCTTCAAAAAGATGTGCGAACATGACTCACATGTGGTTATTAATGAGCTGTTTGTCTCTCTGTGGTATGCAGGTGTAGCGATTTCTCGGGCCTTTAGCCCAGAGTCGTCTTCAGATTCTGGAAATGAGACAAACTCATCTGAAATGACTGAAAACTCAGAGCTTGCAGCGGCCCAGAAGCACTCAGAAAGCTCCACACGCTTATTTGTAGGTACCGCCGAGGGCTATCAGCCTCTCCTTGAAGAAAAAGCAGAGTTTCCCATTTCTGACCAAGACCCCACCCTGAAAATGAGCAACACTTTTCGAGGTCACCAGGAAGAAGAGCAGCAGTCAGCAGGTGCCTCTTCAAAACCGATTATTCACTCAGACGACATCGAAATGGAGCCTGAAACTATGGAAACCAAATCTGTGACGGATTATTTCAGTCAAATGCACATGGGTACACTGGTGAATTCCTGCAACAGCAAACGAAAAGGGAAACTGGGTGAGGCAGATTCTAGGAGGCACTTTGATACAAATACCACTGGGAAGCGGCAGTTAAAGGCACTTGACCCTGGCAACGAAGAACATCAACAGATGGGGAAATTCAACACCTTCAGTGCAAGAGAAACTCACCGCATGAGCCTCTTCGACCTCGAACGCACCTCATTTCGTGAAAAAAGCCAAAGATGGCAGGCGTTTTCTGAAAACAAAATGGCAAACATTGCCCTCTCTGGGTCGGTGAGTATCCGCGCTTTGCTGCGAGGCAGATTAGGCCTCAAAGACTCTGAGAAGGAAACAGATAAGAACAGTGCCTCTGAGACTCGAAAGGACGAAAGCCTTCCCCCGGACAGTGTGCATATCCCCCTTGACAAGGAACTCAATAAACCTAAGCCAACAAACGTAGCAGGTGAGGAACACCATGAATCAACACAGATCCCATCAGAGCAGCCCGTGGGCCGCCTGTGTGACTACCACCTAGCTAAGCGCCTGACATCCTTGCAAAGCGACAGTAGCTATTCTCTCCAGAGCTCACAGTGTTCTTCCCTTGATGCTGGGTGTAACATGGGGAGTAGCAGCTGTGCCACACCTATGGATTCACCCCATTGCATTGGTGACACCAAGAAAGGCCTCGGTTTCACAATGTCCGAGGAGAAGGCCCACGGTATGTCAAGCCACATACTTCAAGGGAAGGATCTCCATCCAAATATGGATCCTTCAGTTCTCCAGAAGATGCTGCCTAATGCACATGCATCTGCTGCCTCTGAACCCACAGTTGGCTCTTTGCAAGATGGGTCTCATCGGATGCCTAAGATTAAAGAAACCACAGGTACACCCAAAAGGGATAATCTTTTCTCTGATCTCTATAAGAAGGATCAGTTTATTAAACCCAAAACTATACCAGGGAGTCAGGCTTATAGGCACTTCTTACGCATAACTGTAAGCCAGGCACGAGAAAGCGCTAAACTGCAGGGTATGAACGCATGTGTTAGCCTAAGAAGGAAGGTTAACAAGCATGTCCATCACAATCCAGTATTATTTGATTTAGTTCAATTAAAAAATAACACCAACACACAAAACCCCTGCATGCTGCCCTCCACTGAACCCTCTGAGTACACAAATGTGGTACAGTCTGTTGGAGCTGCCTTAAGCGCAGGTACCAGTCCCAGAATGTACTACTCTGCTACTTTTCCCACTAACTTGAAGGAAAGTCCCGATTTGCATGCTCAGAGATGCATGAACAGTCTTGAAGTTAAGTACTGTATCGAGAGGAGAACCTCAATTTCCGGCCTTGGAGGCAAATTAGAGCAAGGCACTGATGGTGAACCAATTCTGTACCAGTGTAAGAGGAACATGCACGAGAGTATTGGTAGGCCCTTGGAAAACATATACAGCAATCAGCCGCCTGGTGAGAAGGACTGGTTCAAGGATGATTGCAGATCGCAGCATGTTGTCAGGGAAATGCTTAATGATTCTCTGTGTTTTTCTACTACCCCTAGTGTAGCTTGCACAGAGCTCGAGATGGCACGAAGAGGAGATTCTGTCTCCAAACAGGTCGAAGGCAAGCCCGTGCTGCCACCATCTAACATTAGCGCAGATTCCAATGTGCCAAAACTGGAGTCTACCGACTTCCCAAAAAGAAACCTTAGCCAGGCACCGTCCTCCAGCTTATCCTCATGCGATTCCGACACAGGTGGCCCCAAGAAACACTGGATGTCAAGGAGGAGCTCTGGCAGCATCGAACCCCCGGCGTTTGACAAAACCAAAACCACCACCGGCGGCATGAGCTTTCAGCTTCCCCAAATCTCCATCACCAAACTGCAGAAAAGAGCAAGGAGGCTACGCAAGAATCACTCCCAGGGCTCAGGCACCTGGCATTCAACGGCCTCCGCTGGCAGGAAGGCCTGCAGAAGGGCTTCCCTCATGCTTCCCGTGCCAAAGGATACTAAGCAGTTCCGATCTTTGCCAAAACTGGACACCAGCAACTGGACATGCCATGGGCCTTTCAGCCATTGCTTCCTCAAACATAGACGCACGGTTGACGAGGATGAAGACAGCAGAGGGACGCCCCTGCAGAATTACGCATCTCAGTCTCCCAAAGGGCCACAGATCACGTCCCCCAAAGGGGCACTGGATATCGCCTCCCCTGTAAGTGGGGAGCAGCTTTACCCAGACATCAACCTGAATGGCATGACCTTCAGTGCCCGGCTGGCCCGTGTCAATGTCCTGAAGGACACAATGTACAGCTTCCCCACGGGCTTCATGGTGGCACAGAGGGATGCCAGGGAGCTGATTGCCCTGCTGCGCTCCAGCATTGGAACAGCCGACGGAATGCTACCTGAGATCCAAGGGGCCAACCTGAACCAGTACGTACAGCTGCTTGCCATGGAGTCCAAGGAGCTGGGCAGCACCTGCAGGAAGATGGCGCTGGCCCACAAAAGTGCAGAGGAAATGGTTCTGGCCATGACATGCAGCTTCCAGGTACTCTGCTGCCTGACAGAGGCTTGCATGTGTCTAGTGAAGGGCATGGCTGAAGAGGTACAGCAACGTGAGGTGGTAGCTATAGTAGATGAAGTTGTCATGAACTACATATGCCTGCTGAAGGCCGCAGAGGCAGCTTCTGCCAATGCCGCTAATGACCACAACATCAAAGCTCTGGCACGGCACTCCACCTCCATGTCCACCATTATAAACGCACTGACACGCTCGCTCAAAGCACTCCTCAATAAGTAAACACTCTTTCTAGTGTCCTTTTGCAAGCCATATACCGCAGTGTGGGGTGATACCAGTCCACAGTGTGAACTGCACGAACTTGACCCTGTGAATATTTTGTTTTATATGTAAATGAATAATATAAATTATTAAATTATATAGAACACTATATAGGCATTAAAGGAAAAATGTATTCATCCTCCATTAGAGAGCAAGACAAACTGAAAGAAGGTAAAATAATATAATCCTTCATGCACCTTCTTGTATGATTTTTTCATTACACTTCCTTAGTACAAGAAGGAAAATGACAGAAGAGAAAGAAACATTTACTCAAGATGGTCTTATTTGTGCATATAATACTGCTTTGTATTATAAAATTTAAAAATTATTTAAAATGAATTTATGATTTTTTTTAACAAATGCAAAATGATGTAAAGACCGCACTAAATCAATTACTTGAAAAAGACCCTAGAAAACTTTTATTCATACAGATCATTAATAAAATGATATATATATATATATTTTTTGTATTAACTATAAACAATGACACACACACTGTGTTTTCACTGATACAAGTGTGGTGTCAGATACATTCCACAGGCTATGACACATATCTTCTTAACTGTACAATCTTATATGAGAGATCATAATAGACAAATGAACATTGAAATAGAAATTCTCTTTCTATCATGTTGCTTACACATTAAAACACTCAAGGCACTGAATACCGTCCATGCTGTCTTTATTGTTTGGATGAAGGGATGGATGGATGGATGGATGGATGGACGGACGGATGGATGGACTGTGTGTCAGTGAGGATATTATATACATCCATTCAAATAATTATTGCATAACAGCTACACTATTAATTTACATTTGTTGTTGTGCATTTGAACTGGTCTTTTGGTTTGTGCAAACCAAAATACAGGTAAGTAGCAGTTTTATAGTAAGTAATGCCAAACAGTACTGACAGGCACAATGTCCAGCATTACACCAGAAGATGGATGTTCACTGGCTTTAAGTGATGTTCAAAGATGGATGAAGTGTCTTTCTCTTTGTTCAAAGGACACTTAATCTAGTGAAAAATCATGCCAACTCTTTCTTATATACTGTACAACTACTGTTAGCAAAGAAACATTAAATGTACATATTACAGTAACAGAAGTTACTCTGATTCATCCCAAAACAATGTATTCAGACTGACACCAAGTCAGTACATTAGTGAAGCCCAACTGAGATTAACTGACCAGACTAACAAGATAATTTAAGAGCTACAAAACTGAAATCATGTGGATTAAGGCTGTGAACTGTTCATAGACAGGATTCAGCTTTAAATCTTTTCATTACACTTCTGGGAAGGCTGTCCACAAGGTTTATGAGTGTCTTTATGGGAATTTTTGACCATTCTTCCCGGAGAACATTTGTGAGGTCAGGCACTGATGTTGGACGAGAAGGCCTGGCTCCCATTTTCCGTTCAAATTCATCCCAAAGGTGATCTATCAGGTTGAGGTCGGGCTCTGTGCTGGCCAGTCAGGTTCCTCCACACCAGACTCGCTCATCCATGTCTTTATGGACTTTGCTGGACTGCTTTGTGCAGTGGTGTGCAGTCATGTTGGATCAGGAAGGGACCATCCCCAAGCTGTTCCCCCAAAGTTGGGAGCATGAAATTGTCCAAAATGGTGTTGAATGCTGCAGCATTACGAGTTCCTTTCACTGGAACTAAGGGGCCAAGCCCAACCCCTGAAAAACAACCCCACACCATAATCCCCCCTCCATCAAACTTGGCACAATGCAGTCAGGCAAGTACCTTTCTCTTGGCGACGGCCATACCCAAATCCAGACAGAGAAGCACGATTTTTCACTCCAGAAAACACATCTCCACTGCTCTAGAGTCCAGTGGCGGTGTGCTTTACACCACTGCATCCAACACTTTGCATTGCACTTGGTGATGTAAGGCTTGGATGCAGTTGCTTGGCCATGGAAACCCATTCCCTGAAGTTCTCTATGCATTGTTCTTGAGCTAATCTGAAGGCCACACAAAGTTTGGACGTCTGTAGCTATTGACTCTGCAGACAGTTGGCGACTTCTGCACACTGTGCGCCTCACCATGCATTGTCCCCGCTCTGTGATTTTTATGTGCCCTACCACTTAATGGCTGAGTTGCTGTTGTTCATAATTGCTTCAACTTTGTTAAAATACCAATAAAAGTTGAACGTGGAATTTTTAGTAGTGAGGAAATTTCACAAATGGACTTATTGCACAGGTGGAATCCTATCATGGTACCACGCTTGAATTCACTGAGCTCCTGAGAACGACCCATTCTTTCACAAATGTTTGTAGAAGCAGTCTGCATGCCTAGGGGCTTGATTTCATACACCTGTGGCCATGGAAGTGATTGGAACACCAGAATTCAATGATTTGGAGGGGTGTCCCAATACTATTGACAATATATATATATAGTTGAAACCAGAAGTTTACATACACTGTATAAAAAGACACATAACCTTTTTTTCTTACTGTCTGACGTGATCAGACAAAACTTTTCCGGTTTTAGGCCAGTTAGGATTACCAAAATAATTTATTTATTCTAAATGATAGAATGAGAGATAATATTTTTTGAGATTTTTTTATTACTTTCTTCAAAGTCAAAAGATTACAAACACTAAGGTTGCTATGCCTTTAAACAATTTGGGAAAGGTCAGATGATGATGTTATTGCTTTGGAAGCTTCTGATAGGTTAATTGACACCACCGTATATGTATTTTAAGACACCGCTCAAACACACTGCTTCCTTGTGTTCCATCATGGGAAAATAAAAAGAAATAAGCCAAGATATCAGGAAGAGAATTGTGGACCTCCACAAGACTGGTTCATCCTTGGGTACAATTTCCAGATACCTGAAGGTGCCATGTTCATCTGTGCAAACAATTATACACAAGAAAAAACACCATGGGAATGAACAGCCATCATTCTGCTCAGGAAGGAGATGGGTTCTGTGTCCCAGAGAGGAACGTGCTTTGGTGCGAATTGCATCAACCCCAGAATGAAAGAAAAATACCTTGTGAAGATGCTGGCTGAAGTTGGTAAGTGAGTGTCCTTATCCACAGCGAAATGAGTCCTGTACCGACATGCGCTGAAAGGCCACTCAGTGAGGAAAAAGCCATTACTCCAAAAGCAACATAAAAAAGCCAGATTACAGTTTGCAAATGCACACAGGGACAAAGACCTTAATTTTTGGAGACACATCCTGTGGTCTGATAAAACTAAAATTGAACTGTTTGGCCATAATGACTATCGTTACATTTGGAGGAAAAAGGGGGAAGCTTGCATCATGTTGGGATTTTTTGCTGCAGGAGGGACTGGTACATTTCACAAAATAGATGGCATCATGAGGAAAGAACATTATGTGGACATATTGAAGCAACATCTCAAAACATCAGCCTGGAAGTTAAAACTTGGTCTTCCAAATGGACAATGACCCTAAGCATACCGCCAAATGAGTTACAAAGTGGTTTAAGGACAACAAAGTCAATGTTTTGGAGTGGCCATCACAAAGCCCTGATCTCAATCCCATAGAAAATTTGTGGGCAGCACTGAAAAGGCAGGTGTGAGCAAGAAGGCCTACAAACCTGACTCAGTTACACCAGTTCTGTCAGGAGGAATGGGCCAAAATTCCAGCAAACTATTGTGGAAGGATTCCCAAAGCGTTTGACCTAAGTCATACAGTTTAAAGGCAATGCTACCAAATACTAAGGAAATGTATGTAAACTTTTGACTTTGAAGTAATAAAAATTATCTAAAAATGTTCTCTCTCATTATTCTGACATTTAGCAAATAGAAATTATTTTGGTAATCCTAACTGACCTGAAAAATTTTGTCTGATGAAATGTAAGACAGTATGGAAAAAAGGTTATGTGTCTTTTTATACAGTGTATGTAATCTTCTGGTTTCAACTGTGTGTGTGTGTTTGTATATATATATA